TTTCTTGCCCGCAGCTAGTTTTTGAGCCATACTCTGACACTGCTGCCGTGCCACTCCGAACTCTGTTTTTTCAGGCTCAGGGCTGTCTTCGGGCCCTACACGCAGCCTTCGCAGGCGGAGTACTGGGACATGTGGACGGCGGTGCGGACCAACGACGGCAATCTCGTCGTGGACAGGTAGGCTGCCGTTAATTGCTGCGTAAGATCAGTTTTACACCCAGGGCGTCCCTCTGTTTGCAGGCAAGAGTCACAGGCAGCCGTTACCAGAGCTCGGCTGGGGTCTGGGATCATCACTGCCCCCCCCAGAAAAGAGCTGGGATGTGATGTAGGCGCAGGGATTCTTGCAAGGCAGGTAAACGGATTCTGGAGTCAGGAGGATCTGAGCCTGAGGTGGGAGAAGGACAACGCTGGAGATGCACAATTTGGGATTTTTTTATTTGGAAGTTAGGAGCTTGAATTTGTGTTTTTTTTGTTAACTGGAGCTAAATCTGCTTTTCTCCAGTCTGGGACTTTCAGAATGACCTCGGGCTCGTGACTGAGTTCAGTGGGGCCTCTGTGTGTCCTCCCTCGGTGTGCAAACTCCTCTCTCCTCCCGCTGGGGACAATCCCTGGATAAATCACAGTAAGGACCAAAGAGCTTGGCCTCTCCCAAGGGCGCTCGCTAATTGTGGCTTCTAACGAGGGAACAGACGGCTGACACACTGCCCACTTGGCAAGTCCTGTCACGGCAAACTCTTGCAAGGTCACCTTTGCTGGCAGCGCAGCCGTGATGGGAAGCTCAAGGCTGAAGTATCTCCAGCCCCTTAAACGTTGGGTGTCAGAGTGTCCGTATGTTTATTTAGTGTAGCTTTCTGTTGTTGGCTTTTTGTAACCCAACTGACTTGAACCCGCCGTTTAAATGGTGAGCCTCAGCCCCCGAGAGCTGTGCTGAAGAAGGAGACGCCCTGAGTTGCTGGCTGGGGTGATGAGACAGCCTGAGGAGCATTTCGCAGTTCAGATTTTTCGCTGTGAGACCTGACCAGCGTAACTGATCTTCTCCCGCCCCCCTCCGCGCTCGGCAGGTTGGTGTCGTCT